GATGGCAAAGATGGAAAATAGCTTGAGAGAGATCTTGACCAAGATCACTTCCTTGATGAATGAACATATCATTTAGAGTGTGTGGGGCTTGATAGTTCACCTACTATTGCCCATTTTGATGGAGTCTATTTATTTGAGACTTACATTTTGTTATCTTTATTTTATGAACTTTGTCGATTGTGAACTGATTCTTGAAACTTATTTTGGATGTTGGGATTCAGATGACTTTAGATTAAATCTAAAACTCCAAAATTTTATATTGATATGTCAATCTCAAAACAGATTCATGATAATAATGATTTATTTATTTAGATTGCAAATGATAATTGAGTTTAATATCTTACTATTGAAACTATTTGATTGATCCGAGTTAATTGTCTTGGATTGGATATAAATGATTCATACTTGTTTGAACATTACACTCATCACTCAATTGGATTATGTTGTATAATGAACATAGGAGGAGATTGTTGGATATATTAATAATATAGTCCAATAATATGTTTACTTATAAGCCCAATAGGTGAAAACATGATTATTTGAGTCGATATAAGCTGGAGCCCAATAACTTGCATTATTTACAGGGTTTCCTAAGCTAAAAATAACATTGTTGAGCATTTCAAACTCAATGTCTCTTGATGTAATACTTCAGACACCTCCAAACAGTTAGATAATACTAATATTAATTTTGTTGTGCTTCCGACATGTGTGAGTTTTGTAATTCCCATACCATGCTTCGAAAAAGCTTTTGATGATGCAAAAAGATTTATTAGATGTTGATTGGGCCAGTGTTGATACAAAACACGTATTAATGCAAAAAATAATTAAACATAACCAGCATGAGCTATAATAAATTAGTTGTCTCGATGCCATAAATGGAGCTTCTAATACATTAACTAGTTGGTCATTTTCACTTGTTTTTTATTTTATTTAAGATGTTTTAATTAAATAATAAATAGTTAGAACTCCTCAATGAACAATTTATAGAAGAAGTTATTGAAATATTTGTTAAAGTATTAGAAATTAATCGGTACAACTTTATAATTTAGGATAGCTATTTAAGAAAAGAATATAAATTTCATAGTAACTTAAAGCAATTTTTCTTGTATCTAATGAACGATAGTGCTAAAGAATAGAGATTTCCCAACTTTTTAAAGTCTTCTGTTTATTATTTAAGAAAATAATCTAAAATTTATATTAACTTAAAGCAATTTTTCTTGAATTAAATGAATGATTTTGCTAAAGAATAGAGATTTCTCAACTTTTTAAAGTCTTGTGTTTATGTGTACTTTTACTTTTAGCCTTTTTGGAACCACTATTAGGTAAAGATAACTAGAAAAGTGGTTGGCGGTTAGTTAATTGATTTGGACACAGTATTTAAATTAATCAATCACATGGTCATCATTAATTTGGAATTCGTTCCCGTGGAAGCCGATTAATCGAACCCACAAATATCACACAAAGTTGCCCTCTTGGTTTGAATAATGCACCTGTATAGAAAATTTTCCATTTTAAGAAGTTAATTAGATTTATATTCATTCTTCAATAAATAGCAAAGAGAAAATTAATACAGTTGACGAAGATGAGAATGTTTATTATTTTTCTCTCCGTTCGTATGTGATTTCAACCTTACAGAATTTCATATTATTTTGACAAATGTCTATATTACATTATAAAGTTTTACAAGACTATTTTGAAGTGCATTTATTTTTTTAAGTAAACAAATTGAAAATATTTAACTTTTATTTAATGTAAAGCACACATTAATTTCAATCTATTAAATTGTAAAATTAAATAAACTTATTATTATTATTATTTTTGTCTACTTCAGGCATGTATATATATGTTTCTTTTCAATTTCTAATTTGAATTCCGTTATGCTGTCCAGTTGGGTCGAAACGTTGAAAATTTTGGCTCTGTTTATATTAAAGGAAAAGTGTGTGTCTAATTTTTGTGTTCATTTCTCTCTTAAAAAAATCTTAGTTTATGTTCTTTAAAAAGAAGCTAATTTTATTACCAAAAAAAAAAAGAAGAAGCTAATTTTCCTTTACATTAAAAGATTGGCTCTAAAACATGCGTCTTTTTTTTAAAGAAAATTTGCAGCTACACGCACGACATATTTTACGCAATAAAAGTTTATCTAAGCTGGTCTCGTGGATGCCTTTGATACATAGAATCTTGACGTGTTGATCAGGGAAATAAAATAAGGGATTCAATACTGACATGACAATCTTTATTCCACCAGTTAAAGAAATAAAAGTAGAAATGTAGAATGTTTTTTATATTAAAATTATAGATATATTTAATACCGACAATCTTTATTCCACCAGTTAAAGAAATAAAAGAATAAAAAGTAGAAATGTAGAATGTTTTTTACAAATTAAATATTCGTTTACTGAAATTGTTAAGATATTCTTTGCCAAAATACGTAAAATAACCTTTGGATATTTTCTTATTATTTATTAAAACAATCATTTTAAATAAAAAGCCTGCAATTTGAAGTTGATAGGATCAATATAATATCTGATGGTTTAACGGTCTCAATAAACTTTACACATAAGATATGACAATGATTTAAAACATTGAAATTTTAGGTAAATTCTTGTTTATAATATTACAGTTTTCAAGGTGTCGTTCTAGAATTTGTGTACCTATGACTTTTCCAGATGATGGCCCGTTCATGGTTTGTTGACTACGGTTGAATTTGTGGCTGTGAGCCACCCTGAGATGGAAAACTGAGTCATATGAACGGGGACAATAATTAATTCTTCAAATATTTTAAATTTCCTAGTAATCTTGTTAATTTGACAATTACAAATTCCTTATCAGTAATTTTCGGAAAAACCATCTCAAATTTATAAACAAAATGCTCAATAAGTATATTATACATCGAAATTTATTTCTTTTTAATGATAATAATGATATTTCATTCTAAAATGATGGTCAAGAAGAGTGACATGTTTAAGATCCTAAAAATATACATAAAGGTCTATTTTTAAATAATTACTTCAAGCGACAAGCTTACAACTGATTAATTTTTTTAAACAAAAAATAAAAAATAAAATCAGGTTATAAAAATGTACATAAATTTAAATTTCTTTATGCTCAGATTAGATTACCATTTTTTATAGATGTTGTTAATGAATCAATCATAATAATTCTCATAAAATCATACAAGATATTTAATATATATAAAAAAAAATATTTGTCCTTTTAAAGTATATAGTTTTGTGTTATTTTAGATCATAACCGTTGATTTCCGTCAATCAACGGTTAGGATTTATTGGGTCAAACTTATTAATTAATTATTAATTCGCAATAAAATTCAATAAATTTTAATTGTTGATTGACGAAAATCAACGGTTAAACTCTAAAATGACATAAAATTATATCCTTTAAAAGGATAAATATTTTTTCCTATAAAAAATCATATAAAATAAATATCCCAGTCTGAATAATTTTCATTTTCTCTTTTTCATAAAAGTAGAATATGGGTTAAACATTTTTTTTAAGAAGCTCTTAATTATCACAAATTTTGGCTTGTATTTTCTCGACTCCCTCTTTCATACTATCATGTTATTTTTCAAATCTTGCAACAAAATTTTCTCAAAATTTTCTTTTTCTTAATTTCTTTACTGTGTGGTTTATTAATTAATCGACTAATTTAATTAAACTAAAACATAAAACTCGTCTTTATTATACCTAATATTTGAACTTAAGATCAATAATTAAGCTGCAAAAATCTCGTAACAATTAATGCATGTAGTTGATTGTCTCAACTCAAGCTCATCATTTGATTTCATGCAAAGCAACCCCAATTTGGGAGATTTATACATAGATGACATTCTTTAACACTTTCCTTCTTCTTTATCTTCCCCTAACTTCAACATCACCCCTAATTCTTCTCGCGAGTTTCGTAACATGTCTAGTGCTGCCATTGCCGCCAAAGCTTCCAGAAGAATCGACGAGGATGATGATTGGGATAGTGAGAGTGAGCATGATTTGCAAATTGTACTAAGTGACATCAACATTATAACAATAGAAACGGGTGGGTGGTGGACTTAAAAACATTTATAGTGACAAGACATAATAAGATTGAAATACATTGAATTTTCCAAGATTTTTTCAAGTTTAACTTCTTCTTTTTTAGGTTTCATAAGTTACATGAATATTTACTATCTTTATCTAACATATTATTAATCGCTACTATGTATTAGTTAATGTATGTTTTAATTTTGTTAGTAATACTAAAAATAATTATAAATATTAAGTAACTTTGAGCTGTTTGACATATCTTGTTTTGAAGTTAAAAGTTACTTTTAAGTTAAAGTTAAAAAAAAAATTAAGAGATAAAATTAAAAGTTGATCGATAATTGTATAAAATTATTCTTAGGATTTTAAAGAGAGGAAGATAAAAGGTAAATAATAAAATTTTAGAATAAGGGTATAACTAAAAAATAAATATGACAATTCCAAAAAGCTTATATACATATTAAAAAAACTATTTTTAAAATAAGAATTTCTGTAAAATTATATTTTCACTAAATTTTTATTTATAAGAAAAAGAGAGAGAGAGAAAATAAAACATATTAAACAGGCACTTTATCTAAGTTTTATTATTATTTTCACACCATCATTTATATGTTATCACATCTAAAAAGAAATAGGCTTTTTAAGAGAACAACATATGATAAATTTAGAGACATCCCAAGGGTCAAAAAGAATGGAATATTTTAACATGCGCAGTAATATTTTAAAGAAAAAAAGGGGCAGAGGACAAGAAATGAAAAACACATAAAGAAGAAAGAAACAACCTCTTGAATTAAATTTAGTTAGATGTATTTAATGAAGTTTTGTCAAAAACAGGCCTTACGTTTTTGTCTTCACCGAAACTGTCACTTTCTGCAACAGTTGGAACAAGTGAGAATGGAACTCAGCTCATGGGATGAACTAAGTCCAATTCACCTTACGTGCCAACACCATAGACGAAATAATAACAATACAACCTAAGACCAAGCACGACATCATTCTCATTTAGCCGTCTCTTAAATCTGTTCCTTTTTCTCTTTTCACATTTCAACTATTTAACCACCTAACTCTACTTAGACCTCTTCATTTTTTTTGTTTTGTTCTAAAGGTATTTTTTTTTTTTTTTTTGAGTTAATTGTTGTTGCCCCAAATGGGGTTTCTGTGTTTGATTTGTTCAAGGTTTAATCTTTTTGGATTTTAAGCTGAATACTCAAATCGGATTATGATTATGAGCTGAATCTGGAAATGGGGTTTCTTAGGCACGCGCTTTCTTTCATTTTATTTTTGGTTCAATGAAATAGGCCAATTTTGTTCTTGAATTGTGATGAAATTAGAAAATTTTCTGCAAACTTGAATCATCCTTCAGTTTTATTTGGTTTTTGATACTTTGATTCGAAGGCACTCTGCAGGTTGTTTTCCGTCTTAAATCTTTTAAAGGATCTAAGGTTTGATCTCCGGTTGACTTTTATTGAAATTTATGTTCTTAAGTTGATACGTTAGGTTCAGTTAGAATTTTAATTTTCCCATCCTGGAAATTTTGCCAGGTTATAGAAATCCATGTCAAATTGAACAGAGGCTTTAACCATTTCAGTTGAATAATTGACTTATTCTTTCTTGCCAAAGTGTGTGTTTGAGTTCCTATGCCTGTGCATGGCTATATTTCTTTGTAATTTGCAATTAAAATGTGCAAATGGCACTTCACTTATGTTGGAATGTGGTATATAATGCAGACTGCAGAGTGTAGCAGCCACATCCCAGGATCATTATGAGTTGTGGCTGCTTTGGAGCCTCAACTCTCAAGAAGAAAAGGAGTCCGAGTCCTTCTGATACTCCAAATGAAATTGATGGTGAGGGCCTGGTGGTTACTTATTTTAATATTTTGTAGCCTTCAACAATGCTATTAATCCTTTTATTAGCTTTCCTATGAGTCTGCTCTTTCTGATTGAAAGTAATTTACCTGAGAATATCACCCTGATACTTTCAATTTAATATAAAATGGAGTGAAGGACATGATCTAGGTACATCATGGCATCTGTTCTCTTTTTTTTCGAGTGATATTTTTAATATTAGTTCAAATTAAGTATTGCCAATCAAGCTGTCTTTAATTTTGGTCAGTATTCATAGGAAGGTCTAACAAGAGCAACAGAAAGTCACCATAAAATTTGTAGACTCCAAAAGATAATTATGTCCATTTAGTTTGTACATCAGTGAAAACATAATCGTAGTATTGGCAAAGGACATCCTTTGGGATTGTTACTTGTTAGGTTGAATTTTGATAAGCAATACAGCAATGATGTTCATAAAAGTTCTGATGTATAATTAGTAATACTTTTGTGACTACAATTTTTCCCAGTTATCGCTATATTTAATGCAAGGGTAAGGTTGTATATAAAGATTACCCTCTCCCCTACCTTCAAAAATCAGGATTTCATGGGGAGTGGTTTATCACTATATTTAATGCTAGATGCAAATTTTTATGCCTCTATTCTCTTGTTGCTCAGGCTATCCACTTGATAATATAATGCATTTCTCTGATAAAGAACTGAGATTGGCCACTGATGATTATCATCCAAGCAAAAAGATAGGGCGAGGAGGTTTTGGAACTGTTTACCAGGTATTCAGGTCACAAACTCATAAGTTGTAACTTTATGGAATTAATATGCATGCTGCTCACTCAATTTTCCAAAATGATTCTTATGCTACACGAGGCCATTTGTAACTTTATTTTTCACAATTTCTTTCGTTGATGCCGAATTAAGATTTCTTTTCTTATGCAAGTGCTAGTCCTTGACCAGTTAGGTATCTGTGTCGTACAAGATATTATTACATTGCTTTTTGGGTCAGTATAAACATCTTTACATTCAAAAACCCATTTTCATGGTCTAGGCATTCAACAGTAGAAGCCCTGTTATATATCTCTCTCTGTGTGTGTGTGAGAGTGTATGTCAAATGACTTTATGTTCTTATCTTGACCTTACATACATGATCCAATGGCTATTATTTGCTTCTCTCTCACTTGAGATGCTCCGGATGCATGCCCACACACACTGCATTATAATTTTTATAAATCAGTAGGCTATTTTGTTTTAAAAATGAAAAAGGATAAATTAGCAAAAATTTGATTTTCTTGTTCAAATGATCTATAAAAAAATCGGTGCTATATCCAGCATCCAGCTTTGCAAATTGAAATATTTATTTCCTGTACCCTTTATAGACATCATAAAATCATGCTTTCATATTTTGGACTATGACTTATGAGATCTGAACTCTGTCAATTTTCCCTGTGGAATAGTGAAAGATCTTTTCAATCTGGGTGCAAGGAATGTGATACGGTTAGGCAGAAAAAATATATATGGAAGAATATATGAGAGGAAGAGGCACAGGGGATTAGATGACCCAGGTGCACAGCATATGTCAGAATTTAGGGGTGAGTCAGCATTGGGGGATCGAGGGAAAGTTGATTAGGGGAGTCACGTTGATTGCAATTAGTTTGTTACAAATAGGAGGGGGAAAGAGCTTTTTAATCTGGGTGTTAGGAATGCTTCAATTTTATCCTTACTCAATATAAATATTAATTTAGCATTAAAAAGTAAATACATCTATCCTTTTATATTTGGTAAAATCTAAACGCCAAAGGTTGTCTATAAGATTGGTTAAAAAAGAATTGCCTCTTCTTTAGCCTACATTTCCCCTCCCCAGACCAAGTCTTATTAGAACTCCTTTGTAAAGGAAAAGTAGGTGGAATTTTATAAAGTATGAGGGCACTGTATACTCTAGCTTGCTTAAGCTGAGCAATAGCACAGGGTACCAAGAAATAAGATCACATTTTGTTCATTTTATGCTCTTATTGATTGTTAAGCCACTACTAAATACCTATGTTGAAATTTTGCTAGGGAACCTTAAAAGATGGAAGACAGGTAGCAGTGAAGACCCTTTCAGTTGGGTCAAGGCAGGGAGTTCGTGAGTTTTTAACTGAAATTAAAACTATATACAATGTTAAGCATCCAAACCTTGTTGAATTGATTGGTTGCTGCGTTCAAGGACTTAATCGTGTATTAGTTTACGAGTATGTGGAAAATAACAGCCTTGATCGTGCTTTACTTGGTAAATTTGACAATACTTTGGTGTGGATTATGAAATCTCAAATTAAGATCCATATGCATATGAGAGGATGAAACATATACTTTTTTTTTTCCAAATTTTTGGTAGGCACAAGAAATACAAACATTAAACTAGACTGGAGAAAAAGATCTGCTATTTGCACGGGTACCGCTCGGGGTCTTGCATTTCTTCACGAGGAACTTGTGCCACATATTGTGCACAGGGACATCAAGGCCAGTAACATACTACTTGACAGAGACTTTAATCCAAAAATAGGAGATTTTGGGTTGGCTAAATTATTTCCAGATGACATCACTCACATTAGCACAAGAATCGCTGGAACAACGTATGTGCTATTTCAGATTCTTAATTTTTTATTTTTATTTGTTTTTTATTTTGCCATAGCTTTGGAGGATTTCAACTCAGATAATTTTATTTATTTGTTTTAAAAAATGTCTACTATCAGTCTTGTGCACATAATATTAATTAGTATGATATTATAGGGAGAAGGAACTCATCATATTTGGTGATCCTTCATCATCTAGGTATAATAACAGAACTAGCAATGTGATAATTGATAAAACTTCAGAGTCAATCAGGAGATATAAAATAATGTTTTCTGAATGTACTAGGTGCAATATTTTGTCATTAATGTTCATAATTCAGTTGGACATGCCTCCAACAAGATTCAAGGGGCACACAGTCCATAAAGCTAGAATGCAAATTGACATTGACACAAACTCATGGGCAATCATTTATTGTGGTTCGGGCATGCATTTTTGTATTCTTAACTTGAGTTATGCAACTGAAAGCATAATATTATATCTCATGAAATATGACTACAGAGAAAATATATTTAGCTTTTAAGAAAAATAAAAAGCTTCACGACCCATTTGTTAGAACTAAAAATTAGAAGATAATATTATTGGCAAACAGCTCTGGTGGCATATCTGACAGCTGAAGCATTAAGGTTTACGGATTCCTCAACATATTGCTTTGAAAATATTTCTATGGAATACCACATATTTGACTGATTATCACATTCTTGTTTTAATTAATCAATAATATCTTTTGATCAACCATTATATTAGGCATTTACTGCTCCAGTTAAATGCTGAAGAAATGTTTCAATTCTTATGTTTTCCTATAATGTTCTTCAATCTTTGTAAAGGAGAAACAAGTAGTTAGTTAGTTGCCCTAATACTCATCTCTAGGCTATGTTTGGATATCTAATAATGAGTGGAATAGAATGGAATTTAATTTGCTATACCATGTTTGGATATTTTATGATGGAATAGTGGAAAGTTTCCATTCCATTGTTTGGGAAGTGGATGGAAGGGCAAGATCAAATTTTTTTCAGAGCGGCTCCATCCCATACCCCCAAATTGAGGGGGTGGGAAAATAGAGGTATTGCATGGAATGACATGGAATAGATCTCATCATGTTCCATTTCATTCTACCCTATGTTAAACAATCCAAATAATGGCAACTAATACCATCCATTCCACACTTTTCCATCATCCAAACATAGCCCTATATAAATATCACTCCCCGTTAAACCCGACTAACGAGTGTGGGTGGTCGGGTTTAACGGGGAGTGATGGTCGGGTTTAACGGGGAGTGATATTTATATAGGGCTATGTTTGGATGATGGAAAAGTGTGAAAACATAGCCCTATAGTTATTTGGATTTTCTAATTTATTCATTTGTTTATAGTGTTAAGCATTTTAAAATTGTTGAATCCATGACTGGACTGTGAAACTCATTAGTCATTAATGCCATGACCTGCTTTGATTTCAATATGCACAGTGGTTACTTAGCACCAGAATATGCAATGGGTGGCCAGTTAACCATGAAGGCTGATGTATACAGTTTTGGGGTTCTTATACTTGAAATAATTAGCAGCAAAAGCAGTTCAAGGGCAAACTGGGGAGGGTCAAACAAATTTCTCTTGGAATGGGTACGCAACTTTCAGCTTCCCATATTAATGAGTTTTATTGCAACATCATTCATTTTATGTTTTGTAGCTTTGTATGCTAATACTTTTTAACCTATGAAATCCTAGTATATAATTAATTGTTAAGATGCTTTGATGCTCTTATGTTTGGGAACAAATTGAGAAGGGGAATGAAAAAGGAAGAAATGAAAGTTGGAAGATAGATGGTTACTTTCCACTTCCTGTTTGTATATGATTAAATTGGGTGGAATGAAGATGACAAGAATTGGTTTCTCATTTGTTAGTGTTAAATAAATGAAAATGATAGGCAATGTTTAAATCCATGTGTTATAATAGCATAGTGGAGGCTCACATCTTAACAACCTATTTAGAATACTTCTAATAGAAGGCAAGAAAGTTATTAAAATTGAAACTACAAATGGACCATAAATATGGACTTCATTATTGTCATAACAACAACAAAACACACTTTTAAATGGCTACCTTTCAAATTTTATAAAAAGCATGTCCATATTGACTTCTCTCTAGTTTTATAGAGAATGATCTTCTGTAGCTGAACTAATGAATTTTCTTTCTAAAATCATTCCTCCCACTTTCTGTGTGTTACAAACAAAGGAATATCATATTTGTTCTGGGTTTGTAACTCGGATAAGCCTAGTTAGACCTAACCCGTGTTGGCCCAATGCCTCTGTGCCCGGATACTATAAGCCAATCCATCATCAAGAACTCGTCTTCTTGGAACCCCAAGCTAGAGCCCAAATCGTGGGATCCAATCCACGATCCTTTCCCACTTTGTATTGATAAGATCACGATTAGTATAACTGCCAGTTCAATAACTGCCCCATATCCACTGATAATAACTGCTAATAGAACATATATAAAGACCAGGATAATGTTATTAAAGGATTAAGTTCATATTAACCAAGACACTATTAAACCGATTTAACCCTTGATGTTCATATCGAACAATATTCATTACCTTTTTCTTTCCATCCAGATTCATTCCCCTCAAAATCACCCAATTCAAACAGAGTTCAGTCCCGCTTTTTCATTATTATTACTCTAGTTCCCCAATCCATTAACTACTACCTTGTTCCACATAAAGCTTGATACAAAAACATTCAAAAGTTATCCTTTGACCAAAATATATGCAAGATATGTGTATGTTCTTCTGAATTTGAGTCTTGGGCTGGACATAAAGATCTTTATTTTTGCAATAAAAGGCCTGGCAACTTCATGAAGAGGGGAAACTGTTGGAGCTTGTGGATCCAAACATGGGTGAATTTCCCGAGGAGGAGGTAATTAGGTACATGAAGGTAGCTTTTTTCTGCACACAGGCAGCAGGAAGCAGAAGGCCACTGATGTCCCAAGTTGTTGACATGCTCTCCAAGAAAATAAGGCTCAATGAAAAGCAACTTACAGCACCAGGGTTCTTCCAGGACTCAGGAGAATCCTCTCTAAAGAAATCATCCTTTGAGTCCACTAGTTATCAATTTAGCTCTACCCCTGTCAGTATTACTCAGGTTACCCCACGGTGAAGCCTAAATTAAACTACTCCTTGTGTGAATTGCAGAGTTGAAATATAGAAGAAAAGAAAAATAAAAAAAGATCAAAGAGAGATTATAGTTTTCTTTTACTTTTTCCTTTTATTTATATTTTTTTTAAGGATGCAATAGAATGTAGCATGAAATTGAAGCGACTTCGTGCTAGGCTATGTTGAAACCAGAGGCCTAGATTTATTTTGAATTAATCTTAAATTAGCTTTACTTCTTACAAGAATAAGTGGAAAAGCCAAGTCTGAGTTTGCTTGAAATACAAGTTACATATTACCCATCATTAAGATAACATACAATGAATTTTTTGCTCCCCTGCAATAAAATTCTTCACAATGTTTCTTCTTGCAAGGTTCGTACGTAACACACAAGGGTACCGGTAAAAAGAAAAAAAGAGAGTATAATAACTCTATTTTTTGCATTCTCCAGTAATATAAACAACGAAACCTTTTTAGTAATGATGCACACTCGTCTGCACTTGGCAAACTCAACAATTGTCTGAACTTCGTAATGCTTATTTAATTTCACGCGTTGAAATTAGAAAATAACTCAAAAACAATAATATTCCTATTAAAAAACAAATTGCTGATTTTATAAGTTTAATTTATCAAGAAAAAAAAATGTATAATGTATAAACTCCACGTATGTATTGTGGATGCATAGCCTATTCCAAAGCAGGGTAAAGGAGATGGGATATGAGATGATATCAAGAAAAGAATTATGGATTTACAAATAATTTATTTTGGTAAATTGTTTACCAATAGGGGTGTAAACGGGGCAGATGGCCTAATAGGAGTTTACGGGCCAAGTTCTGATTTAACCTATCACATATAATCAAACAGAACAGGTTCTGACTTTTAAAAAAATCTATTTAAAAAAATAGGTCATGAGCTTTTTTTTTTACATGTCGGACTTATAAGCCTACAAATCGACTTATATCATATTATTTATTTTAAATAAAGTAAATAAAATTATTATTTTAATAATTTTGAATAATAAAATAATATTATTTTAATTATTTTTTAAATTATTGAATGCCTAAGAGACTTAAAGAGGCTTAGGTCAAGACTTTTGTTTTTTAAATATAGGTCAGATCAGACTTATCATTTGAGCCTATATAACACTAACAAATGGTCTAAAGTATTTTACATAAGTCAGACCTATTTAAGTTAAAATCCAGTCCAGCTTAACCCATTTATATACCTAAATAATAATGCCTAAAATTCAAGAATAAAAATATTTTAAAAATGTATTTATTTTTTTAATATATATCCATGGTGAATTGGTGATGATAGTGGTAGTGACATAATATATTGGTAAAGAAGAGGAATATGATACCACACGAATTAAAAATACAAATATTTAGTACTTGTGAATAATAACACGAAGATGAGTTGCATACAATGAAAAAAGAACAAATTTGAGAAGGTTAATCTAACTGTTTAACACTTGGACAAGAATTTTTTTTCTAATTGACACCATTGAGCAAACAAATAATTATAAAAGTTAAAAAAACATGCTCTTTTTTATTTTTTTAAAGGGTGTATAAAAACCCATAAACATATGAATTTCCAATGTCAAAATAGTCAATAATGGATATAACTGATACAAAACCTTCATGATGGAAATAAAATGCAAACCCAAAAAGCCATAGAAACTAATAGCAGGACAAAAAGATCAGTAAAGACTGCAGGGGAAAGAGGGATATCAGAAAAAAGATTGTGGGAGTTGTAAGTGTGATAGGCAGAATTATGTAGCAGACTGCTCCTCAGTGGCAGGGGCTTCTTTCTGGGGTAAATCTGCAGTACCATTATTGGTGGCATCCTTTGGTTGTGATTCAGGTGCACCTTCTGGTGCAGATCCATTTGCTTTAGGTGCTGTTTCTTTTCCATCCTTCCCAGTTTTTGAGTCTTTAGCAGGTGCAGGTGGAGGAGGAATCATGTGAGGCGGTGGTGTATGTTTCAGTTTTAACAATATCTGCCGCATCCTAGAAAGATCTGTGGGTTTGCCAGGCTTTGGGCCCTGGATGACCATAATTGATGGCTTCTTCTCCTGATCCTTTTTGCTTTTTCTCTTCTCAATGTTGGGAATCTCACGAGGAATGATCTCCCCAATTGCTTTCCAGTAATTTTTGTCAGCCTCTTTGTGAAATTTCTCTTGATTAGCCAAGTATAACTGGCTCCACAAACAATTAATTTCTAAAAATTAAAAGAACAGAAAAGATAAATTGTGAAAAAAATAACAATCTGATGCGTGTAAACCTTACCTTCTCCCTTTCTCTGTTTTGAACCTTGTTAGACTCAACATTAAGCTTCCTTTTCTCATAGAAAGCCAGCTTATACTCCTCAGCTTCCTCAATAATCTTCAATCTCATTTCTTTTTCCCTTTTCTCCTTCTCCTCTAGCTCAATGGCATTTTGACTGCACAATGAATTCATTTTTGTTGACAACTGAGTTCAGCAAACATGCAATAGACCTTAAATCTCAATTGGCCAAACATCATATTGCAAGCAAACTCTTGTCCTACAATTAGGTTCAACAATAATTTTGCCTTAACTTAACCAAAACTTCATTCTCTATTGTGCACCGAATTTTACGGAACTCAATAGCAGGACAGATGAGGAATACCATGTTGAATAGCATGGAAAAGAAAGACAATATTTAAATTCATGTGTGTCAATAGCACAACGAAGGCTCTATTATACAGAGCAACTATAACAATTATATAGCGATGTTGGACTTCGCGTCAACCTATTTTCAATACTTCTAACAGACTATTTAAAAAGCAAACAGACCAAATGATGGAAGCTCATTGGTGTCAGGGAACTGAGCAGGTGAGGTGAGGGCATGTGTTTAATCCTCCCCAGTACCGTCTTTGAGAGGAGTTTAAGGTCTTAATTTCGGGACCCGCCCCGAATCGGACCAATCACGAAGCGATGAACCAATTGGAATATCTTTAAAAAAAAAAAAAAGCAAACAAAATATATGTTTTTAATAATTTCCTCAGCACACTTACAAAACCCAAGAAATGTCCTCAAATACTCGTCAAGCTTTATCATCATCTGGTAATTTGAAAATTGTTTCCTTGATCTAAGTTCAACAGAGGACAGACTATCACGGAGCACTCAATATCGTCAACTTGAGTATGATCATCTCACTTATCAGCAATGATAATTCTTCCACCATTAAGAAAATGAGCACACAGAACATATCCAATAATCTGTGGAATCGGCCCTAAGTCCGAGCTACTATCCAACAACTAAAGTTTTCTTGCAACATAAAATATACCCTCAAAGCCTCAAAAGCACCCCACCATACAATAACCATAGAGATCCAGCTTCTATAGGTGAAGCTAGCAGAAGGATAATAACAGGTTCAAGCAAATCTGCTTCGTCCTTTTAGTCTAAAAATCGGTGGATGCAAATCAATTGATCCCACCCAAGCATACTATTATACTAAATCTCAACCCAGTCAACAGTTATAAAAATAAAAAATTATGACAGCTCACGTAACTATTTCAAGTGAAATTTGAACAACTAAGCACACCGATTCATCTTCTTAATTATTGATTTCTAATCCAAACCGTTCAGGAGCAACCATGAAAAAAAAAAATCAAGTGAAAGAGGAAACTTTGGGATCAAGCACGAAATAAACTTCAGAATCAGAATGAAAGCAAAATCACCATAGATCTATGCAGATTCAAACGAGATCTGACAAATTCACTAAACAAATTCAACTCCACAAACATAAAAACAAAGCAAAAAGAGACAGATAGAGATAGAAGAGAAATCCGAAGCACTCACCGACGCCACTCACGAAGGGCGTAACCTTCCTCCGACCCCATCTCGCCGGGCGGCGGAAGCACCGGCCCGTCGGAGACAAAAACGTCGTCGCCGTATCCGTTTCCGTTTCCATTTTCATTCCCGTTCTCTACTACGTGTTCAAAGGGAGACTGAGAGTAACTCGGATCCGGATCGCTGAACCCGAAGATCTCCGGCGACGATGCCGCCGCCGCCACCGCCGAGTGATCGACAGGGGCATCTTCGCCGGGGAAGCTGGAGAAGCCGCCGTAGCCGGAGTAGGTTTCTTCGGCGGCTTCAGAAGCGGCGAAGTGGTGGTCGTCGACGGTGAAGGCGTCGAAAGAAGACATGTCTCAGCGGTTTTTTCTCTCTCTAGAAGAGTTTCTCTCTCTTCTGAAACACTCTTTGAATGGAAAAGAAAAGAGAAGCAGTGCGACACACTGTGTCCTTTCTATGACTTTTTAAATACTTATCGGTGAAAAACAAAAGACGAATAATAGAATTTAAAAATGAGAAATCATAATATTTGGGATATTTTTTAGTTACGGAAAATTCATCTTTTAATAATTATTTTTTTATTTGATATAGAATTTCAATATAAGTACAATTTATTTATTCCCATTAACATTTTTTAGTTTTACTAGAACATACATCTAAGGAGGAACTTTTTCGATAATTATAACTATGTTTTTAAGATAAATTGCTTATACTACAAATATTTTTATTTAAATCAATTTTTTAAAAAAAATAATAACTATAATTATTTAAATTTTGAAACCCGCAATTTCTGTACAAATAAATTATATCTTATAAAAAAGACAAAGTTATACTAACTATCTTTTATTACTAAATCTTAATTAACGATTGTAATTTAGTGAGTCTTAGTTATTAATTTTTAATAAATTATAATTGTTAGATTGACGAAAATCAAATATTAAAATTTGATAGTAAAAAATAATTAAAAAAAATAATAAAAATTACGTCTTCCTATAAATATAAGATTTTAATACAGAATATTCCAAGATAAAATGCAAATGCATTTTTTTTTTTACAAGAATGTACGGATATTTAGGAACCACTAATTGCGGTTGATAGTTTTTTTTTTTTTTTTTGGTTGTAAATGGGGAGGGCAGAAGCCCAAAACTGCGGCTGATAGATTTTAACATTTGGAGTAATTAACTTGACCAATTGACCTCGGTAGGAAAATCAAATAATAATGATCAATTAATCCACTTTTGTTTGGTGTATTAATTGATTTTTAAAATATACCCAAAAAAAAAAATTAATTTTGGACAAGAATTGTTATATAACTTATGAATTCTTGTGTATTTTACATGTCAAGATCAAGGGTGCGCTTTTCTCTTTTTTTTTTCAGCTTTGAAAAATGTACTCTTATATAATAACTCTTTTTTAGAGTTTTTTATTTCTGAAATTGTTGTTTTAACTTCAAATAAAAATATTCAAACAGTTTATTTAAGCTTATACTTTTTTAATAAAAAATTATATAATTGTTAAAAAAAAATAAACATATTCAAAATAAAAAAAATATTATTCACTGCATGTATCAGGCAATTTAATCTCAAGTCTCTATGTATAAATATTTTTTATCAAGTCTCTTGCAAGTGGAGACAATAACAACAAAAAATAAATCGTAAACATTATTGCCGATAAGCAATATTTATATCAAAATTTCAATTGCGTGAGATCATCTATAGATTACAAATTAAAAGATACGCTCCTCAACTTAAATCTCTATATATCATTAAAATTTTTAAGAGTAAATATATATTATTTGATTAAATTATAAAGTCATTTACAAATATCAATATTAAGTTATATTTGCTTCAAATCAGTAGTTATTGCTTTCCCTAGTCTTAGAACATATTGTTTACTTTAGCTCTTTAAAAGTATGGAAATTGAGTAAAACATTTGGAGCATTAAAGCTTTAAATTTAATGCTTACAATTCTTGAGTTCATTGTTCAATTTGCAGCTCATGCAAATAATTTGAGTTCACAAATTGAGTTTTTTGTCAAATAGAAGAAACTGTTTGTGCCTTACTTTTGGACTCTGGAGGAATATGACAGCTTGGGGTGTGAAATTGCACAAAATAATTAAAATGTAAACATCCATGTCTTTATAAGGATTTGTTTTTTATCCACTAACAATGTAAATTTTCTCATCCTTAATTCTTCCAACACTGTTTATGCAATAAGAAAAAAAAAGATTCTAGATCTTAGACATTCTATTATTTCAAATCATATTTTAATATTCTTACTCGAGCCAAATGTAAGAAGTCTCATACTTTCATTTATTTTTAGAGAGGATGATCACTTGCCCTGCAAAATGGCAAAGAAAGAAACCGATATAATTAATTAGCATATATAAATATTTGCCTTCATTCGCTGGAAAACACAACTACTGGTAAATCTTGCTCATCCAGAATGTGATACAACTTAGTAAGAACCTACTAGTCCAAAATTGTTGTGCTTCCAACATGTGTGAGTTTTGTAATTCCCATATCATGCTTTGGAAAAGCTTTTGATGATGCAAAAAGATTTATCAGATCATGTTGATTGGCCCAATGTTGCAAAAATTAATTACACATAATTCAGCATGAGCTATAATTAATTAACATGACATCTTCAAGAACGTTGTCTCGATGCCATCAATGAATCTTCTAATACATTAATTAGTTGGTCAATTTTACTTTGTTTTTTAATTTTATTTAAGATATTTTAAATAATAAATAATACAAGAACTCATAGAGGAAGTTATTGAAATATTTTTTAAAGTATTGGAAATTAATCGAAACAACTTTATAATTTAGGATAGCTATTTTTATATATAAAAAAATCTAAAATTTAGAGTAACTTAAAGCAATTTTTCTTGTATTAAACTAAATGTTATATTCATCTCATTTTGTATGAGAGAAATAAATTTTCTACATACACAAAAGAGAGATGAGTCTCATCTCTATTTTTATTCTCTCCTCTTATCTATTAGTCTCACTTATAATTTTATTTCTATAATATGAGATAACCATTTTTCTGTGACATAAAAAAATTATTTCTGATAGTGCTAAAGAATAGAGATTTCTCAACTTTTTAAAGTCTTCTGTTTATGTGTACTTTTGCTTTTAGCCATTTGACGAGGGTCGTTCTCCATCAGTGCGTGTAGTTTTGGTGTCTTTCTAAGCTCAACTGCAGAAGATGATTCGGATTCAAGTGCATTTTAAACATATTATTTCCAACGTGTGAGTTGGTAATAATAATGCTGAGGTTACCGGCAAGGTGTAACTCAGTTGGTTTGATGCTGAGTCCTAGGGGTTCGGGCTATGAGTCTAAAGGACTTGAGTTCGAATCCTGATAAACACACTCTGTGGGTAGTGGAGAACCCTTGCCCTCTCAATCCGCGATAGGGGATTAGTTCCATCCTATGTGGGGTGAGAATAGCCTTGAGTTTATTCAAATAAAATAAAATAATAATAATGCTGAGGTTTTAACATATAGCGCAATATGAAGACGAACCTGTAGTTAAATGTTAAACACAACAAACAACCTCTTATTTATGTATCCTAGTAAAGAACTGAGGTTCAGTGGCGGGGCCAGGTATATTCTGAGTGTGGCCTCGATCCGGGTTAAATTTTAACAAATTATATTTATTATATGTAATTATATAATTAATTATAATTTGACTCGGGTTAAAATTATAATTTGGCCCGGGCTACAATTTGTATTTTGGCCCTATCTAAAACTTAAAATATTTTTTTGTAAGAGATTTGGATGTTGTATTAGGTTATGTGTTTAATTTCCACTTGTATACAAAAAAATATTTAATAAAATTATAATTCTTCTTGGTACTGCTTGCTCAGGTGCTCTATATTTAATATAATTTAAATATGGAGAGTTATATTTACAAATTTTTTGTTTATAAACTCTTACAAACTACACTATGTACTCCCGGAAGTACACTAAGTAACAATTCCAAGAGTATATAGTATAATTTACAAAAATTTGTAAAAAAAAATTTATAAACGAATTATTCCCCAATTTAAATATATTATGATAAGAACTAAGTAAAGTTAATAAAAATAAATACACGTAAAATTTTTTGCCGTTACAATTAATCACTTGTTACAGCGTACAAAACTATGAAAATAATATGAATGATCACCAGTTACGAATCGGAAGAAAAACAGAGCGAGCAAGATCGTAGCAAATTGAGTTGAAGCTGACATAAGTTGAAACTTAAAAGATGATGCCACAATAGAGTTTCGATCGGTCTTAGCTTGTTTGGAACTTGTTCCAGCTTCTGGACATTTTCTATTAGTTCCCCCTTGTAGGCAGTGGCCTACGCAGAAAAATTTGTTTATGCCGGCATATTATCCAAAAAAAAAAAATTTGTAAAGAAAATTTAAATAACGCTTGAACCCGTTTATAATTTAGTTGCTTCCATAACAAGCTGCAGACAATAGTTTAACCAATTATTTTTCCCCCTAAATCTTACCAATCCTCCAAAACAAATATGAGAATATATTCTAGTATATCTATACATCATCATTCTATTTTATAGTGGTGAATAAAAAAGTTAACACTATGTACAGAAGGCAAACAAAATCATAGTGAAGACCTCATCTCTAGATATTAACTTATTTGAGAATGTCAGACCTTCAATCAATCCTCTCTTTTTATAAAAATAAAAAAGAAAACAAAGGATGAAGAGAACATGAGAATGGATACGTGACGGGGGAGGAAGAATAAGTTTTCTCTGTAATCAATTTGCGTTGCTACGTTGTTTTAATCATCTCCGTACGTTGTTACGTTGCTAACTAATATAAGAATAAATATCTTTTTTGGTCCCTAACAAAAAATTCGGTCCCCACTTTAGTCCATTATAAAAAAAATTAGTCACTTGGTCCCTATGAAATTTAAAGTGGATCCATTTTGGTCTTTTTGAGGGAATAATGTAGGTCTTTTTTTAAATTTGTGAGGGACCACGATTTTAATTAAATTGATCCATTTTAAATTTACTCGAGACTATTTTTTTTTTTTGTAAGGAATTAAAATAGGGACCATGTTTTTTGTTAGGAATTTAAAAAGATATTTACTCCTAATATATATATTGAATCAAGAGATAAATAAAGACATGCAACCAAAAAAAAAAAAACTAAAATGAAAAATTTTATGACCGCACTTGCGGACATTTGCCCACGAATGGGTCCGCCATTGCTTGTAGGCTTGCAGGCACGATTTGAAAAGGAAAGCACGTGATCTATTTTTTATATAAACTATTTTCAAGGCGTGAGTCTATTTATTTTATCATATATAATAAGTTAAGTCTGATGAGCAATAGACCCCTATGAGTTACCTATCTCCTTTACACCCTTAGTAATAGTCAAAATACATGAAATAACCTT